TCTATTTATCTTTTTTTGTTTTATATAGTAATAAGTTTTTAATAAAGATTGGATATTGTTTATTTTTTGTATCTTCTTTATTATTTTTTATTTATTTTTCTTTTTATTTTAAATTTATTATAGTTTATTTTCAATATCAGTGTTTTGTATTTCCAAGTTCATTGCTCGTTTTATATAAACCATTTTTATATCAAAGATACATTCTTCTCATAAAACTATTTTTATTTTTTGAAGTTAGATAATATTTTTATATATTATCTCTTTCATTGAATTATTAAATAAATATTTATTGTTGATATATCTTTTTTTTTAACTTTTAAGAATTAATGTTGTTAAGTTTATTAAATTAGTTTGTAAAATGGAAGTTCAACCATTTAACTCTTTTCTTTTTCTGACTTTTTATTATATTTATTGTACTTCTTCTGATAAGTATATGAGTATTATTCATTTGCACAATACATTGTTTCTGGTTGTGTTATGTTATTTTTTCTTATTACAATAATGCTCCTTTTTAGAATTTCATCTTTGCAACACTATCTCATGCAAATAGCAATATAATTGATGTATTGTATTGAATTAAACAATTACTGTATTTCATTTCTTAAATGAAATAAAATTATGTATTATATCACAATAATTAAAATATATTTTTATACCAACTAAATTCGTTATTGTTTATGAAAGTTATTTTTTATTTAACCAAAACATCAAACAAATATACAAAATTATCATATGAAATATCAATGAATATAAAAATGCTTTTTAGATAATAAGAACCTTTGTTCAAATTATACCTGCTTATTACTAAAAGAAATCGTTATTTTAATTCTCTATTTATTTTAAACAAAAATATCTTCATAGTTATATTATACAAATTCTAATCTTGGTTTGGATGGAGATATAAAAATTATTATGATATTTTGACGATAAATTTAATTAATAGCTCATATTTCTTTCCCTTTTATTGGTTTCCTTTATTATTCATTATCATTTATACTTAATTTTCCTTCATAAATAAACATGAAAAATATATTATCAATGAGAAGATTAATGACAAAAGGAAATGAACCTTTTAATACTAAAACATCAATAATTACAAAAGTTTATAAAGAAATACTTCAAATAACCAAGAAAAGAATGTTTATTAATGTGGTTATGAATTAATAATTTCACTATGTTAATAAGTGTAAATAATAACATCGTTAGTAGTAAATAATATTTTCATCATAAATTACTTCTTATGCTGTAAATAATCAAATACATATTAGAAATATTTCATTGACGTTTTCTGAAGAAATAATATACTCAATCTTGATAAATGTATGACTCAGGATAAAAATAAACATATTAATGCTCTTCAGACATATAATGATATTTGAATATAAAACTAAACAAATTATTTAAATAGAAAGTGAAAAATAATACTACATACTCAATAATTTTTACTATTTCACTCATTCAATAATAATCAATCAGATAATCAGAGAATATCAATGAAATAACAAAACGAACATACTTCTTCGTTTTGAGATGTTAATATGAACTATTTAAATGGAACAAATGAAAAAAAAAGAAGAACATTAAATGTTATTTGTGTTGTGTTTATTAACTCTTAGTAATGCATATCTTATATTTGATGGAAAAGACTTCTTTGATTCTTGGGCAATATTTAATACTGCTGGATTGTTTGTTTTAGTACTAATCATCATCTAAATCTCAATAAATTTGAAAGAAGAATAAAAAGAAATGACCATAGAAACATCG